TATTCTAATTTTTATCATGGGATTTTCAAAAGAAAGTACCCAAGTCTTAGGGTCGGTTAAAATGATGTGTCTACAGTTTTAGGAGAGCTGAACCAATTTTGGAGGGTTTTACAGATACCCGATATGACAGGTGATCTTGATGGTAGAAAGTCCACATAAGGATTTTTATTCACCTTTGTAGGGGGAGCTGTTTTATGGCAGTCTAAATTACAAAAGTGTGTTGCTTTAAAGGAAATGTTGTGGTTAAAGTGGTTTTTTCAAGAATTGGGTCTACAATAGGAAGAGTACAAGGAACATTGTAATAGTCAGAGTGCAATTGATTTGAGAAATAATTTCATATACCATTCACGTACAGAGCATATTGATGTTCGATATCATTGGATACGAGAAGTGATGGAAAAGCAGCTGATGAAGCTAGTGAAGATTCACATGGACAAGAATCCTTCTAACATAATGACCAAGGTTGTCACCAGAGACAAACTGGAAGTTTGCAAGAATCTGACCGGGATGAACTTCAAGTAAGAAGTCAGTTATTAATATGGGCGTGGAGGGGGAGAATTGTTAGCTCTAGCCTACATGGAGGAGTAGTTGGAGGTTGGCTCCAAGTCAAGAAGTAGGAGGGGAGATGGCAGGTGGCAGCCCTCCCATTTACTTCTCTTCATTGACTTTGTTCCCTCTCATTTGTATACAAAATTGAGGTGAGGAGGAAATGATGAGACACAACACAATCAGAGCAAGAGAGAATCAGAGAGAGAGTGTGTAAATCTATAGAAAGTAATGATAAACTTCTTATGCAATTGTTCCAGCACAACCTAATGGGGCCTGCACTTCAATGGTTTGCCAGACTGGAAATGCACCAAATCCAATCTTGGATGGAATTGGCTCATGCCTTTATCAAGAATACAAGCACAATTGTGATTTGTGCATTGATTGCAACTCATTCATGAGAATGACTAAGAAATCGGAAGAATCTTTCACAGATCACGCCCTCAGATGGAGAGAAGCAACTACATAAGTGAACCCACCATTATCAAAATCAAAATATGTCTCGCTTTTTATCTTAGCATGCAAAGGGATCTATTTTGATAAGCTTTGTGCCAGTATCAGCAAAAGCTTTGCGGACGTCATGATTCAAGGTGAGTTTATTCAAGACAGAATAAAGACAGGACGTCTTATAGATCCCTACGCCAAAAATAAAGAAGTTCTTGCATCCTCATCTAATAAAAGACCCTTGGAAAACAAACCCGAATAGGGGGAATTTTCTCTATTTCTTCATATCAATATGTAATAACCCACATTCATGTCTTAGTCATGTTCATGTACATTTGCATGATTTTGTCTTGTTAAACTTGCATTTACAGACTTTGACTTGTTTTGCCTAAGTAAAGGTACCTGTCTTGTTTTGTGCTTATGTGATTTGCCTAAGTGTTGTATGCATGTTTTGTTCCTTCCTTGCTATGTCAAGCCTAAGTCATGCCAAGCCTAGGTCATGTTAAGCCTAAGTCATGCCAAGCCTAAGTCATGCCAAGCCTAGATCATGCCAAGCCTAGGTCATGCCAACACCTAGGATCATCTTAGAACCACTTTGGTGACCTCCACCATCACCTAGGCATATAGGCCGAGATGTGCATCATCTAGGCGTCCTAGATCCTAGATCCTAGATCCTTGATCCTTGCACCTGGTGATCTTGTTCCGGGACTGGAATGACCTAGACCGAGGTGTGGCATATCTAGGCCGAGGTGTGGCACAGCTAGGTCAAGTGTTATCCCTCCTAGCCGAGGTCATTGGAACCTTACTTGCCGACGCCTATGTCTTTAGCCGAGATCATTACTTGCCGGAGTGCCCTTGCCATCTCGCTTGTTGAGTACACTTTGTCATAGTTGTCTTTTCACTTAGCCACCTTTTTGAGAAGAACCAACCAACCGTTGCCACGTGTCCCGGATGAGTGTTAAGTCAGCCGGCAGACCTAGAAATGTATCATTTGCTATATCCTTGTCTTAGAAGAGAGAGAAGCTCTAGGAAGAGGAAGAGGAATTCTAGAGAGAGGTAGATTTCCAAACTTGATCCCTAGAGATCGAACCGTTAGATCTGTGTTTTAAGGTTAGATTCGTGATCTACTCTTCTTATTCTTTAGGTTGGTCTAATCGCATTGCATGATCTAGCATGTTTCATGAACCATGCATTGCTTTGAAGTTCAGTTTTAGAAAGAGAAAGTGATATTCATGTGTTCTTGAGGAAAAACCATGTTTTAATTCGAAAGTTTGTATCAATATGCATGTTTTCGTGTTTGTTTTCATATGATCTTCAAGTATGGGTACCAAGGTCCATGTTTTCGAACTCATAGCATGAAATCACAGATCTTGTAATAACAAGTTATGATTTTAGCATTCATGTTCTTCATGTTCTTCAAGGAGGAAACCCAAATTTCCAGGCTTCATTTCCCTAGTTGTGATCACCGAGACCACTCTTGCCTAGATCACACACCTTGGTCTACCTTGCATGATCACTTGCACGTAGTTTATCTTGCATGCACACCTAGGCCGACCATGGTACACCCATGCCGGCACCTTGTAACACCTCGGCAGGCAACTGCATACTGAAGCCTAGGTAACCATACCTCGGCCAAGAGGTGTGGGACCTCGGCCAAGACCTCCTAAGTTCACCCAGCTAGGTCGTTTTAGCCTAGATCATCTCTGTGCATCCATTCCAGGACCTGGTTGGTACCCAGCATGTTTTCCCTAGATCATTTGCATTCATGTGAAGCTTGTTTTTAAGAGTGCATTCAATAGACTTTGCCATGTGTTTGTAGGACTTGGACCTTTGCCTTGATCCCGACGACCCAAGAACTATGTGAGTGGTATTTTTAATAAAGATATGCTCTTAAGGTTTTGATTAAGCTTTGCCTTGTTTTGATAAAAGTATTTCTTAAGCATGAATGATATCCCTATTTTATGTATCAAGTATAAGCTTTGTTTTGAATAGCAAGTTATCAAGTGAGCTTTGTTTTGATGTCAAACTTTGAAAGTCCGTACATGCCAGGGAACTTTAAGCATTTATGGCATAAGTCCGTACGTGCTAAGGGACTATAAGCATTAGTAGCACACATGTGAAGTCCGTACGTGCTAAGGGACTACAAGCATTAGTAGCACACATGTGAAGTCCGTACGCGCCAGGGGACTCTAAGCTTTCGTGGCACCTTTGTTTGTTTTGTCCGGAATGTTGTCACCCCATGTTTTAAGATTTGACGTATGTTAAGTAAGTAAGCAAGTTTTGAAAGACCAAGATTCGAATGATGTTTTATTTCAAGCCAGCTAAGTTATGTTATGTATGGTTTTGACAAGATATACTTTGTATTGTTTTGAAAGGATCTCGGGTATCATTCATTTAACCCCTTTATTACTTGTACCATTCACTGAGTATCCAAGCTTACCCTCCCTATATATATATGTAGGTAACAAGCAAGAAGTCGGCTACGCCGAGATGTGTGTTTTGCAAGATGTTTTGGATGCATGTTATGTCGGCAATATTTACGTCGGCAAACCTTGAGGCTTATGTATTTTGAACATGTCGGCTTGAAAAGCCTTTTAGTCAAGATGTAATATGCATTTTATTTTGCTTATATTCAAGTTGTAAAGCTATGTAAAGATGTATGCCATTTCATTTGACTTATACACAGCTCTTATGGACTAATTAGATTTGTATATATTGCTTCCGCAAATGTTAGCCCCATATGTAATACTCTGATTGTGTGTGAATTTTTGAAAGTTGGCCTTCGGTAATCTCGGATTACTGGTCATCACGGCACCATTCTACTAGGGGCGGAATGGGGTCGTGACACAATAACAACTCTCCATATCGAATGCAATATCCTAGGCTAGTGCAGTAGTATTCCCAATATCCCTCCAGTCAAGTGTTGCCTTTACAATCACAATATCAACTCCCATTAGCTATACCGCCACTGCAAGTTCATGCCTTAGCAACTGGAACAGACACTACTCTTGCACAAATGACATAACCAACAAATCAACAATGAGCAAACAATTGTTGGAATAAACAATTCACTACATTGGCAATCCCCATAGCTGAAGCCTTCAAGCGGCTATAGGCAGCAGGACAAGTAACACCAATTCTAGCTCGACCATCACCAACTCTGCTTTTGAGAGGGTTTGACCCAAATCTCTAATGTACCTATCACTCTGGCTAGACAAGACATGATACTGAGCAATGTTTTTCCTTGCGACACTGCAGCTCGACTTTTTCACTCCCTCTTTTGGAGGTTCGAAATAATAAGCCCTACAGTTTGGACTCTTACGATTCTGAATTTAATCTCACAAGTGCAATGTGAAATTGATAAACAACAAAGAGTCCAAGTGTGAGTTCTGTATTCTCCCTCTGAGAAATTCTATAATGAAATCTCTTCGTAGACGTAGGCAATTGCCGAACCACATAAATATCTTGTGTCTTTTCTGTGTGTGATTGATTTCTGAATGTTCTTAATCTGAACACATCCATCCTTAATGCTACACATCTTCATAATAGTATCGATATGACAACTGCACATAGATGGCTTACCCATTTATCTGTTTTGTTGTTGTGTTCCTAGCAAAAATAACTAACACATCTGCAAAAGTGTTGTTTGCTATCCAGTGCTTTTGACCTTCAAGTGTAACCTGATTATCCCAAAAAATAAAAGGCACAGCACGTGTATAAGATGCCAAGAAGGTGTTATAGACAGTAAACAGAATTTGGTAACTAAAAGCAAAAAAGAAGCATGATCAGCTCTACAAGATTAATAATTGTATAAAGGTTTAAGGTGCTGGACCTTTGTCGCTGTTGTTTTTAGAGAACTTGCATCACTTCCATAGCTAGGTTCAGTCAAACCCTGTCGTGTGAATAAAAGATCAGAGTCACATGCTTGCAGCAGAGACAGCTACTGATGTAATATTAGGAATCTAGACACATGTTAAAACAAAAAAATACAAATCCTTACCCAAGAACCTATAGTTTTTAATTGTGCTAGTGAAGGTAAATATTTCTGCTTCTGTGTTTCAGATCCTGCTAGTGCTGTTGTTGATAAACCAAGAAAGTATCAGAGACCTCATCATCCATCATCCATTAGCATACGACTACGGAAAACTGTAATCTCTAACAACAAAACACTAGAGGGAAAAGTAAAAAAAAAAAAAAACAAGAACTTACCGATAGTTTTCATTGCTGAAGAACAATGCACCATAAAAAAAAGAGAGAAGCTTGCATCAACTCTGGCAATTTCTGCCATGGTTATGGCACTTGCTGTAATGGAGTGACCTGGACACCCATAACCCTTGAAGAAAAAAACTAATTGAACCACATACCAATATAACAAGCTCAATAAGATAGATCAAAGCAAAATGCATGAAGTACCTTAATTGAGCCACCAGCAATACCTAGGGCAGCAAGCTTTGGAAGAACATCAAATGGAAATTCTGCCTTCTCCCAGTATTGAAAAGAAAAAAGAGAGAATTTTGTATAGTCAAGAGTTTAAAATAATAAAATAAAAGGGCCATAAGCATGTGTAAGGCTTAATATACACAGGAAAACATATACAACCATCATCTATCAGACAAACCAACAAAGTTATACAACATGCTGTAATGGAGTGACCTGGACACCCATAACCCTTGAAGAAAAAAACTAATTGAACTTCCCACATACCAATATAACAAGCTCAATAAGATAGATCAAAGCAAAATGCATGAAGTACCTTAATTGAGCCACCAGCAATACCTAGGGCAGCAAGCTTTGGAAGAACATCAAATGGAAATTCTGCCTTCTCCCAGTACTGAAAGCAAAAAGAGAGAATTTTGTATAGTCAAGAGTTTAAAATAATAAAATAAAGGGCCATAAGCATGTGTAAGGCTTAATATACACAGGAAAACATATACAACCATCATCTATCAGACAAACCAACAAAGTTATACGACACCTGCAGACAAGTTGGGCATGTAACAAGAAAATACCTTCACCATTATTGGAGCTATTTCTTTTTCCATATACTCTGTTACTTTCATCCTGATGGACTGTTCTTCAGGAGTCGGTCATCAAACTGAAAATAGTCCGAAGCTGTAATTATAGGAGTTCAAGGTAATTAGTACAAAGACTGTGGCATTGTAAAGAATCCAATAAACAACTTTTAGTTTTCAGACAGAAAGCATATATGTTTTGATTTTGAGAGCAAAAACAATTAGCAACACAGTGCAAAAGTTCTGCATGTATTGAAATAGGCCTTAGAACAAAGACTATTAGTTATAATTTCAAACATGCATCAGCATAATATCAACATATGTATGTATGCAAGTACTTAAAAAAACATACACCCAACCTTAAACAAAACAACAAAATATACCATAAATCTCTATAAGAATAAAATTTATCAATCTTACTACAAGGAGGAAAGATGGACGCCAGAGTCGCTTGGAGGAATGCAATGGAAACATCCAATGCTGGTAAGTTGAAATAAGAGCTCTTTGGCTTGTTGTGTTGCTCATCTGCATTCATTGAAGCCAAGTCTTTCAATCAAATGAACTGCCAAATCACGATTAAAGTAGAAGATGGTTTCACTACTTACAAAGAAGAATACAAAACTTAAGCAGCTTGTGAAAGCCATTAAAAAGCAGAGGATGGGAGAAGCCAATACAAATTTTGCCACACATTTTGGCAGAATTCTACTTAATTCAAACCTGATAATTCGCCAAAATAATTATCCTAGAAAACCCAGAATTGACATGCCAAGCAAACTAGTAGTTAATTAGTAAAGAAACTCTTTTGTTGTGATTTGTTTTGCAACTACAAAACAGAGTAAAACTGGAGATCAACTTACAACTAATTTCATTCTCTTACATGTACTAAAAGTAACATATTTAGGTGAGAGGAGTATGAAAAAGGGGTTTGTAATCTGTAATTTAAATCATCAAGTTTCACTTATAAAATATAGTAAGCCCCACACATTTGGCATAATTACACTTGACTCCTATAGGTTTTTATTCATATAACACTTTTGTTCCTTTTTCGTGAGAAATTCATTAGTCGTATGATTGAAGAAAAAAATAATATTATCATTTCTTTTACATTAAAATATTTATTCTACCTTGTATATCTGTTTCTGCATACCATCTGTATTAATTTTGATTTAATAAAAAAGAAGTCAGTGCAATTATATCAAAATTACATGACTAATTATATTTTCTTCAAATATCAAGAAAAGACCATGTAATTTACCCTTTATATATCGATCTAATTGTCTGGGGTCGAGAGAGAGAGTGTTACCTTGAAATCCATTGTAGATCTCATTTTGTAATGGCTTAAGTTTTTCTTTTTCTTTTTTATTTTTATTTTTAAAGTAGTGGTTAGGAATGGTCACGGGGCAAGTTTGCCATTCCCCATTCCCGTCTCTACCGACAAACTCCACCACTGCCCTCGTCCCCGCCCCACCCCCACTACGGATAAAATTTTTCAACCCCACCCACGGCCCCACAGATACCCGATACCCCGGATATCCGACCATATTTCAAATAGTCAAAAAAATTAAGAACGATTTAAATTCTTAGAACGCTAAATAATTTTTTTATTTTCATGTATATAAACGGCAAAACTTTTGAGATTATAATTTATATATATTTAAACAAAATTATAGACTTTTAATATTATTTTCTTATATCTAATTATATTATATATATATATACACATATTATTTATTTATATATTATAATTATATCGGGATCGGGGGACGCGATATCCGCCCCTATCCCACCCGTTGCCGCCCCATATAAGTATCAAGACGGGTAAAATTCGGCCCATTCAGACAAGTATAAGTACTTCCCGCGAATCAAATTTAAATAGCCGTCCGTAGTAGTGGCGACTTAACTGTAACAATTTGAGGTCTCCATTAATTAGACTTTCACTTTATTTAACAAATGTAGATTTGGATTCAAATGGTTTCAATTTGATTGAAGATTCAACCCAGAGATTGTCAACTCTCAACTAATCCAACTATCCAAGCAAATCTTCAGCGAAAATCAAAAGAAAATACTTTTTTCGTCTCAAAATATTAATTTTTTATTTTATTTCTTATTATCCAAAATATTAATTTCTTTTCAAAAATCAAAAACTAAAATAATAATACAAAGTACAAAATATAAATGATAATTATGACAATACAAAATACAATATAAATATTAATCTCTTATTTTGTCATTCTTTTAAATTTATTAACAATACAAAAATAAATATGAGATTCAAACTTGTTCTTTCTTAGAAATCCTAGGAGCGCCTCATCACTTTCCAAAAAGTCCTTGTATCAACTTGTATGTATCCCCTGTAACGTCCTCAAAATAATATATAAAACCCAACAATTTCGACATTGTCATGACCCCAAACCGCCCCTAGTAGTTTAGTGCCGTGATGGCCAGTAATCCGAGATTACCGAAAGCCAACTTTCAAAATCGCACACACAATCAGAGTATAAATATATATGGGGCTCACAAGTGCGGAAGCAATAGTTTAAAGATACAAGTGGTCCATAAGAGCAGTGCGTAAGTTACATGGAATGGCATACAACTTTACATAATATTATAGCTGGGGTACAAATACAATAAAGTACAAAGTACATTTTTACATCTTGATCAAAAGGCTTCTTCAGCCGACATGAATAAATTACAAGCATTATAAGCCGAGAAGCATAATTTTCAAGACTGCTGACATGAATACAAGTTAGGCCGACATAACAAAAACCCAAAACAAGCTGGCGAGTCACACCTAGGCATCACCGCCTTCCTGCTCATCACCTACATATATATATATAAAGAGGGTGAGCTTGGATACTCAGTGAATGGTACAAGTAATAAAGGGTTTGCATGTATGACATCCGAGATCTTTAACCAAACAATACATAATCATAGCTTATAACAAACGTGGGATAAATCGAGTTCATTTAACAAATCTATCGAGCTCATCAATCCAAGTCTTTCAAGCTTCATAGGTGACATTAACAAAGATTGTGCTACAAATGCTTATAGTCCCCTAGCACGTACGGACTTTCAAGATTGTGCTACAAATGCTTATAGTCCCCTAGCACGTACGAACTTTCAAGATTGTCAAGATCAAAGCTAATACTTGATACACAAATAGGGATAGTCATTCATGATTAGGGATAGTCATTCATGCTTAGCAAATACTTTTCAAAACAAAGTAAAACTTTATCAAAACTTTATAACGCTGCTTTATCAAAAATATCACTCACCTAGTTCTTCAACGTCGGGGTCAAGCGAGAGTCCAAGTCCTACAAACACACGGCAAGGTCTATTGAATGCACTTTCAAACAAGCTTTACATGGATGCAAATGTTCTCGGCATCTTTCAAAACCAAAACGAAGTCGAATCAAAACAAACACAGTTCTTTACCTCGGGAAAAATAGGCTAGGCAACTACCAGGTCTTAGGCCGAGGTCCCACACCTCTTTGCCGAGGTGTTGCCTCGATGGCCACATTTAAGGGAATGAGGTCGGGGAAAAATCTGGGTTTCCCTCACCAGAAGAACATGAAGAACATGAACATGAGGAAGATGAAATGCAAAGATCATAATTCGCTATTACAAAATCTGAAATTTCATGCTATGAGTTCAAAAACATGGACCTGGGTACCCATACTCGAAGATCTTATGAAAACAAACACAAAAGCATGAATCTTAATGCAAACTTTCGGATCAAACAAGGCTTTTATTCAAGAACACATGGATACTACTTTCTCTTTCTAAAACCAAACTTTCAATCAATGCATGGCTTGCAAATCAGGTTCGATCATGCAATGCAGCTAGATGATTAACAAGAACTACAAGAGTAGGTCAAGAATCTAACCTTAATACACGAATCTAACGGTTAGATCTCTAAGAATCAAGCTCGAAGATCCACTCCTTCACTCTAAAACTTCTTCTTCTTCCTAGAGCCTCTCTCTCTCTACAAGGCAAAGATGTAATACAAAATAATAGGTTCTACTCACTGCCGGCTGATTTAACACTCAGCTCAGACACGTGGCAACGGCTGGTTGGTTCTCCCCGAAAAGGTGGCTGACAGGCCAGACAGAGTATGGCGAAAGGGTGTTTAACATGTAAAGTGGCATGGCATTCTAACAAGGTATTGACATCGGGTGAAAACATCGGCTCCGGTAGGTGAGGTATCAATGATCCCGGCTAGGACGGACGACACTTGGCCTAGATGTGCCATACCTCAGTCTAGGTCGCACCAATTCGGAACAAGATCACTTGGGTTCAAGGATAACATCTCGACCCAGATGGTACACCTCTTGGCCTTGATGATACACCTCGGCCTAGAAAATGACATCTCGGCCAATATGCCAGGACGAAGGTAGAGGTCAACCAAAGTGGTTTCAAGGTGGTTCTAGCTTTAAGGTGACCTCGGCTAGACACACCAGAAAGAACAAGACTCAACAA